CACCGCTAAGAGGAGGGCGCGATGGGGAAGTGTCAACACGATGGGCACATACGGTCAATTGTCACAGGATGTCGGCCTTTTTTCGGAAGGAAGGATGACACCTAGGTGAATCCCGAACCTAGCGATGTCTAACGAAATATGGAAAAAAAATCAAAAAAAAAAAAAACGCCCCAAGTTACAACAGTTTCAAAACTCGGCATTTTTATTATTAACATTAAGCGTGTGTAGTGTTTAGTGACCGTTAATTAATGATTATTTAGAGATCGTGAGATGCGATCTGGTGTGATGTGGGTTTAGAAAAACATTTTCTTTATCGTGCCAATACATCTGACACATCTACCAGAAAACAAACACTTAGAGCAGGGGTGCTCAAACTTGAACTGCTGGCGATCTACCTCAATATTTTTAGACTNCCGCGACTCAACCACCTGACGTCCGTGTGAAGAACTAAATCAGTGTGTTCAGCTGACTCCCTATCTTCCAACTGCAACTGAAAGAGCCGCCGTTGCAAGCTACGTGCACGGATGGAATTCATAATTTTTGTTGCACTGCCCATAATTTCCTCCGTGTTTAAAACTTTTGAACACAAAACTTGTTGATGTATAATGCAATGGATTTTTGTAGTTTAGTTACCTACCTACTTATTAACAATTTTTTTCTTCTCGAGATCTACTCAAAAAGCACTCGCGATCGACTGGTCGATCGCGATCGACCGTTTGAGCACCCCTGACTTAGAGCCATGTAGGTGATCTAAATAAAGATCGAAACGTTGGCACGTTAAAGAAATTGTTTTTCCCAACCCACGTCACACCAGACCGCATCTCTCGATCTTCAAATAATCATAGCACTGATCTTTGATTTCGACTTTTAGGTAACACAAACTTAACAATTCGCTTATAGCATAAAGGTGGTACAATTATGTTCTCTAGCCCTCCCTAGTAAGGAGGGCTAGAGATACTTCACATTAATTATTACCAGAGTAGTCCGTCTCTTCTCGCTATATTGCACAATCTTTATTTATATAGAAATTACAATAACGAACGTCTGTCTATTTATCGATCTCCAATCCTCCCTGTAAACTAAGTGTTTTTTTAATAAATTTTTTACATTTCTTGTCATTACATAGAACCGCTGTCCTCCACTACTCGCTATATTACATTATCTTTTTGTGGAAATTATTAAGAAATAGCTGAAACAAAGGTCAATTAAACAGGTCCTCCCTGTAGACTAGGTTTTTTCTGATAAATTCTTTACGTTTCTTGTCATTGCATAGAACTTTAGTGCGCCTCTCACAGCTATATTGCAGAATCTTTTTGTGGGACGTTATTAAAAAATAGGTGAAACATACGTCAATTAAACATTGATACTCTAGTCCTCCTTGTAGACCAAGTTTTTTCTGATAAATTCTACACGTTTCTTGTCATTGCATAGAACTATAGTGCGCCTTTCTTAGCTATTTCAGAATCTTTATGTGGAGATTTAATGAGAAATAGCCGGAAGGTAGGCTCATTTAGACTTTGATCTTCCAGTTCTCCCTATTGATTAATATTTTTTTTATACATAGATTCTTTACATTTCTTGTCAATGCATAGATCCGTGGTTCGCCTCTTCTAGCTATATTGCAGATTCTTTTTGTGGGAATTTATTTATTTTTTATTATTTTTTGTAGGAATTTATTGGGATATACCTGTAATATAGGTCAATTTTTGTAGGTCAACACCAACACACCTTTTAACAAACTGTGGTGCTACACTTTTCCGCAATAGAAACTGTTTTGGGACTTACAACGTGACCGTAGTTCCTTGATGAACTAGGATTTACCGGTGTGCTTTAAGCCGGAAACAAGCTTACCCGATGCAACGCTATCCGATGTTACCCCATGCTACCCAAGGCAAACCCAAAGTCCAATTTTCCAGAAGACTGTATTACCCCCGTACACATCTGCCCGATGCTATTGCAACTCTACCCTACTCTTCGCTCTGCGATCCCCGCTGTCCAGATTTTCGTCGGGTAGCATCGAGTACGGTCAAAGACAAAACAACCGGACACTCGTATTTTTATTCAAACTATATGTATTATTGTCGTTATATTAATTACAACATACTTATTTTAATATAAATCAAATTAACCGAGATCAAAAGTTCATTAGTTTTTATTTTAAAAAATTAATTTGAATGGTTTGGTAAAAATTGATCAAAACACCGGAATACCATTTTTTGATATAATGAATTTAACTAACAATTTATTACACGGTTTGTCTCATTAAATTTAACTAACAAATTTTTTCATGGTTGTGCTCATATAAATTACACCATTTTCGTCGAGTAGCGCCAGAGCAGGACACTCATATTTTTTGTAGTTTATTTCAAACTATGTATATGTAATTTAGTCGTTATTATTAATTACAACATACTTATTTTAATTAATTATAATTGTAAATTAAACGAGATCAAAAATTCATCACTTTTTATTTAAAAAAATTAATTTGAATGATTTGGTAGAAAATTGATCAAAACACCGGAATACCATTTTTTGATATGATGAATTTAACTAACAATTTATTACACGGTTTTGCTATACACGGCAGTAATAAGACCCAGAATAACCTATGGATCACTTATCTGGTGGAACAAAGCTCAACAAAAAGTAGCTACCCAAACATTAGGCAGCATACAAAGACTAGCAAACCTATGTATCATAGGGGCGATGAGAACAACCCCTACAAACGCATTAGAAACCTTGCTAAACCTACCTCCACTAGAAATATTCATACAAGGAGAGGCTAGGAAAAGCTCATTTAGGCTCCAAGAACAATTAAATTGGAAAGGAACTAAACAATTCGGGCATACAACCATAATCAACAAAATCAGACACCCATTATTAGAAATGGGGACTGACTACATGGTCCCGAAACAATCTTCACAACTTCCTATAAAGTCTCAACAGACTATAAAGGAGAGGAAGAACACAGGAGAGCATCAGATACAATGTTATGGTACACAGATGGCTCCAAAACAAACGAAGGAACCGGATCAGGCATTTTCTGTACAAGCCCAAAATATGAGCAATCAAACTCATTAGGGAAATATACTTCGGTCTTTCAAGCGTAAATACACGCCATCAATGCTTGTGCCCTGGAAAATCTTAGAAGAGGTTACATCCTCATAAGATCAGACAGCCAAGCAGCCATTAAAGCATAAGCATGTAAAAGAATTACATCAAAACTAGTCAGTGAATGCATCCAAAACCTCCAAAACCTGGGAAAACACCACAACCTGATGAGATCTTGGGTGTCAGGGCACAGGAGAATTTTGGGTAATGAGGAAGCAGACAAACTGGCCAGAGGAGGATCTGCAAGACCATACACAGGCCCCGAACTTATCCTTGGGATAACAAAAACAAACATAGAATCCTCTATCGCAGAATGGATCCAAGCAAAACAAAAAGAGAAGTGGATAAACTCTAGCGGTGCTAGACATAGTAAACTTATGATGAAACAACCCTCACCAAGATTGGCAAAAACACTGCTGGAATTGGAGAGGGCAAAACTCAGAGGAGTGGTGGGACTACTAACCGGTCACTGGTATCTGAGAAAACATCTACACAACATGGGTATATACAGCGATGATCCCATCTGCAGATTATGTAATGAGGAGGAGGAATATACGCATATCATCTTCGAATGCGAAGCAACAGCTCAATGGAGGTTTAACCTTACGTATGGAAAAGTCTTGGGGAATCAAATTGCAGCAACAACAGTCAATGACCTGATACTTCTAAGAAGAAGGATTGAGTCTATTGACTGAACTAAGGAACTAGGAAGGTACAATAAGCCAGAAGGCTGCAGTGCCTGGGGAATAAAAACCCCGCTTCCTAGTACCTTTTCCACCATACCATACCATACACGGTTTTGCTCATAAAATTTAACTAACAAATTTTATCATGGTTGTGCTCATATAATTATACCATTTTCGTCTAGTAGCGTCAGAATAGGACACTTATATTTTTTGTAGTTTATTTCAAACTATGTATATACAATTTTGTCGTTATATTAATTACAACGTTCTTATTTTAATATAAACCAAATAAACGAGATCAACAGGTCATGAGTTTTTATAAAAATTATTTAATTAAGGTGGTTAGGCAGAAAATTTATCAAAACACGGTAATAATTTTATTTAAAACAATTAAGTTCAACAAACAATTTGCTGCAATTGCTCATAAAATTTAACTAACCCTTTATTACATGGTTTTGCTCGAAATAATGCATTAAGAACAAAAGAGGCGTTGCGATTGTGATAATTTGTGCTACACGCTGTGTGACTGTACGTGGCGTGCGCTTGTGTCAGAAAACTCATCATAGTATGTATATAGTAAAAGCTGTATTTTTTAAATAAGAACATTAATTTTCCCTTATCTTTGCGTTTTGGCAGAATTTGTTCAAACCCAGTAAGAAAACATTAAATATAAGATACTAAATTACAAATATAACTAAAACACTGATCAACTCCAATCCACCTTTCAGCTATTACAAGTAATGTACAATAAGTTACATTATAAGTATTAAAATATTTTATTATTAGAAAGACTGTTCTAATCAATTTTAAAATTTTAAAATTAATTTTAAAATTAATAAAATTGATCAAATAAGTAGAAAAAAGCTGAAAGAAAAGCCAAGTAAAATGACAAATTGATCTGGAATATTTGGTCTGCTTACTCTCGATGTTTAAGCTATAATCAATCATATTTTTACTTATTGACTTATTGACCACTAATTCTTAAAATTGGAAAAACCTGTATTTATATAATGAATCAAGTGTATAATATTGTCCGAACACTAATTGGCAACGTTCAGAGATTAGAATAAATTTCAAACGGATTATTTATTATAAAATATATTAAAAATTATAATTTTAGAAAAGAAGACATATGTAGAAATTGTAAGAGATAAAACAGCCAGTTTTAAAATTACGTTAGTTGTTCCTGCTATTATAATAACTTCTATTTTAGGAAGATTTTTCTTCTTCATTATAAATGCTAATATGAAGATGTGGGTTGTGATTGACAATTCTCGCGGCTGCTTGTCTTTAATTACGAATCTGCTACCGTTCATGCTGAAAACAATAGTTCCGTGGGCTTGATAATTAGCAGAAGGGCTTCGTGCCGGAACGAGTAGTGCGATTTCCTTCCTGAGGGAGCCACCTTACAAGAGTAAGTTTTCGGACAATAAAATTTATTGAGGCATGCTACTTACTTTTACCTACATTTTTTCCTATTACCCCAAGAGATAGCGTTAAGTGCACTTTACCGGTCTAGTTACGCATATCTTGTCATAGATGATCGGCTATGATGGCCAATAAATTTGAATCAGATTTCAAGATCTATCAGATCAGCAGTATGTAAACAATTTTTTCAATATGCTATATTTATTTTTCCATTAAGTTGAATTAAACAAGAAGTTAATTAAACAAACAATGAATTGGCAAAAACAAAAACACCCAATTTTTCATAATAGAGAAATTTAATTTTTTTAAAAATATAACTATCTAGCAGGTAACCGTTATATTTTAATTATTAAAAAAATATTTGATTTTTTCCAAAGTTCAACAATTTATATTCAAATAAATCAATTTTTAAACTTTCAAGATTCATTGTTTTGTCCTTTATTTAAAAAAAAATTGATGTTTTAACATATTCATGTTTGCTTATGCTTTGCATTGTTTAACAGTTGTTTCATTTATACCTTATTTGCTTTAAGCTCTGTAATTTTCTCCAAAAGCAACCAAATAGATTACACATCTACTTGGATTAAACAGATTACAGTTATTTTTGAAGGTGTAATTCTTTTGCGACAAGATTATAAGATATAAGAAAAAACGAGACAGGCTTTGTACAGGATAAATATTTTTATGCATTTACTTATTCATTAGCACATGACCGATAAATGACAGAGAATTAATTATTTGTAGGTTAAGGGCAAATTTAAATTTTGCAATCGTTAAACTAACAATGAAACAGTTCATTATTATTCAAGAACAATAAAATATGATCTTATTTTGTTTTATTCTTTTTTCGGGCTGGTTTTTTCATGTACTTCATTGGGATCTATTGGAATTAATCAAATTTATGTGTTTTTATTTGTTTTATTTAAGAGATCGATTTCGGGAGCACCCGCCTCACATCATTCGTCTTGAGTTTTTAAAATGTACAAGTTTAAATATTATTTTAAACAACAATGTCTTTTTACGGTTAAATGTCTATCAAATATAATGAAATTACTTTACGAATCGTTTCTCATCCGGACACACATAAAGTGGTAGGTTTCCCTAGGTTACATAAATCCAATGTGTGGCGTTATTTGGAGCTACGATCTATTTTTTATTAATTTTTCTGGCGGGTTTGTATTTTATACTTAATTTTAATTTTTAATTTACTGTTTTTCGTTTTATGTATTAATTATTTTTATAGCAATAAGTTTTATGTTTTTATATTTTACATTTTTATTTCTTACATTTTACATTATTTTTATGCGTTGTTAAAATATTTTTGTCTTGTTTACATAATTTGTTTTTATCTTGTTGTATATTTATTTTTTATTTATTCTTCTCTTCTTTCTTCTTTATATTTATTTTGTTTTTTCCATGATTATATAGATATTCTCCAATCCAATTGATTTTTGCTGATTTTCTCTCTGCCAAACATGAAGGGATCCAGATTTTACCTCATCAAAATTTATATTGTGTCCTGTATCGTTTATATGTTGGCTAAAACCAGTGTTATCACTATGGTTTTCATGTTGGTTAATTATTTTGTATAGGAACTGTACATGTTCCCAATGTATGTTTTTTGGCATGAACATTTTATTTTATACACCACTTTACTGTTCTTAAGTTTTTCAATAAAATTTTTTATAGCAGGCAAAATATTATATAACTTTTCACCAATATATGAATTGAAGATCAAATTTTTACACATTTCTTTTTGTTTACATATTTTAAATTTTTTTCTGTTAACCCTTTGACATATATTGGTTGACGAACATATACCTTACCATACCTTACACATATCCATTGTTGTTTCATAGCTCTTTCTATCTTTTTGGGTAAGTATTTTTTATTAGTATTCAGTATCTTAAATAAAAAAAGTAAAAAACACATGAGTTGGATTAGTTCCATTAAATTTTACTTTATTAGTTATAGATTTGAAATATCCAAAATAAAAAGTATAACAATTGTCTATTAGTTACATCAGTCACATAATACATGAATAAATAAGAAATTCGAAATTAGTAAAAACGTATCCCCCATCACCTCGAGGAGAATTGAGTACTGGGGGGCAGTTTCTGTTTTTATGCGTATTTGTCTTATTGTATCCACAATTGGCCTGAGGTACAAATAGGGTAGCAATAGGGTAAAGAAAAGAGATTCGGTTACCGCCCCAATTGGTCTGACTATATGTTGGCTGGCGACACAGGAAAATAAATTAGTAGGTTTCAAACGTGAGAAAGATAAGAAAAAAGCCAGCACTAAAAGTAATAAAAAAATTGATTTTTTAATTATAGCAAACGCTAAAACGACATAAAAAATACAAAAGTTCGGAAGAAGAGCATGCTTACTTAACGAACAAACAAAAGCTCTTTACCTAATCTTTAGTTGATCGATAATAATCACTTTGCACGCCAGCTGATTCGGTTAGCTTCACATCATTTGGAAGGTATGTACATACGCTCAACACAGAATATGGCGTGAAGCCGAACCCTAGTTAAGTGATTAGTGTCTATCAGTTCAACTAATCGACTTCTTTACCTTAGCTTACAACTTTCATCTAAAGAAACGTGGAAAGAATGAGGATCAACGAACTTTTTCTGAGGAAGAAGAGTTTTCAACTGTAAAACCATGATAGGATTCAGTTTAAAAAACCTCTTTTTATAGTATAATCGGGACCAAATGGGATAACTTTGGATAGGCATTCTGAACTGGCGACTAACGAACTCGTGCTATCAGACAATCGTCCTTGAACTTCTTTCCCTTAGTGAACTAAAACACCAGACGTTATGACATTGATTTGAAAGAGTTCAGGGGTTAAGTGAACACTCCTAGGCCGGAACCGATTTTTTGAAGGCAAACAACAAACAAAGGCAAGGAAGACGGGTTGACACTCGCCCGTGGGAACTGACCACACCTTTTCTCCCTTTGGTTGACCGTCAACAGTCCTTTGTCGCTTTTTTCTTTCTTTGAAGGGGTGACTTAAAAACCCGATGCTGTTTTTTACGTGTCAGTCGATTTTTGGCCCTTTTATAAGTTGGCTGATAGTTTTCCTAAACTTGGGACAAAATCGGGTGCCTGGCCTACTTTTCCCTTTTTTATATTATAATATGAAGTATACATAATAAAATTTATTCTTGTTGTGGACAGCCGAGCGAATAATCAGAAATTTTCAGTTTATTTGTTTTTTTAAGTCTGTTAAACTTCCGATAATCGGAAACGACCAAAATGTAAGCGAAATGTGTTAAATTTTGAGATTTCGGTTTTGGTTCTACAGAATGATGACCTGTTTGATCCAAAATCTATTTTGGCATGTAAGACTTATAATCATATTCTGTCGTTGTCCTGTAACAAAAAAACGCGCATACATATCCCAGAAAATGGCAAAAAGCCGAAACGCACCTGGCATAACAAAAAACCAGGCTAGGCAGACCAAAATGATAGGAAACGGCCAAAACTACACAAATGTAGTGTTTAAGAAAAAGTCCCTTTTAATCATAATTTGACAATTTTTATAAAATGACAAAATACAATGATCAAACAAAATGGTTACAATTTTTACGAAGAAGATAATATATTTTTTATGCACGTATAATTAGTAAGCCTTCAATATCATAACTATATATTATGTATAAAATGGGACGTTTATGTGCCGACATGGGTCATCGCAGGCCCTCTGGGGATTTTCCTTCTTTATCTCTTCATTCGCGGGTATTTTGTTTTAAACTGCAGGCATTGAGTGCCTCGATGTGGTTACTGACTCCCTGCTTTTAAATGTTTACTACGTTAATATCCTAAAACGCTAGGCCCCCTTTTGTACCTCAGGTTGTCAAGTACAGAATAGAAACAAAATATACAATACATATACATACATCATCACAAACAGATGTCTGGTCACATTCACCCACGCAGGAGTACTCGATATTCCTCGGGGCGGGGTTAAACAACCCCCTTCCTTTTTCCCGCTAATAAATTACATTCATTCCAATGAATTAATATAAATCCAACACATACACAACACAAACACTGTACGCATTTAAAAGTCCCTATAGCCCTGAGGTACGGATCTGTGCTCGCTGCCGTGTCCCAAGACTCCGAACCCCAGGTCCGATGATATTCCTAAAAATATTGTCTATATACGTCAAGCCTTTTCCAATTGAAAAGGTGCTCGATCGTTATTATGTATAATAATTAATTATAAAGGAACACGGATGAGGCGAATTTGCAAGATTCGTTCCTTCGTCGAATTTTCGTAGATCCCCTTCATCACGATTTTCAAATATTAATTAATAATTTTTGTTGGTTTACAAATATATAATTTTCCGATTTTCAAACCAATGTCTTCAAGTGTAATGAAATTAAGCCTTAACATTAAATGGCGTGAGATCGAACACCACTAATGTATACCCAAAATATAAATATCGGAACTTTTTTCTTTATTAAAATTATTCATTACTTTTCATTTCTTTAAACCAATAATCAATAATTTCCATCTTCCGAAACAGTCAGGTCTGAAATTTATACACGGGATTTTCAGGAAAAGGGAAGCCATTGCTAGTTTACCTCTGACTTTTATGACGGTTGCCGAACTACCGGCGCTCCCGGGCTATAAATCTCGATAGTTTAGCCAGTAAAAAAATCAGGGGTTATGGACCCTTAAAACGAAGCCGGTTGAACTCACAGGCTTCCGAAAATTCGGAAATCCCAAATTTATGAAGTTTACATGTCAAAACATTTACCCCTTTCTGCGAACACGCCGTAAATTTATGGCACAGTAGCCAAAAAGACTACTGTTCATATTTACTACATAAGTGCTACTATTTTATGTACACACATTTACGAGAACGGATTAAAGAGTTAAAAAACAAGTAACTATATATTAAATTGGAGTTAATGTTGGGTGTTCGTCTGCGAGTCTGTGAACTCAACCCACTTAACCGGCATAGGGTCACTTGTTGGGTCCGTCTTCACTCGCGGGTTTGTTGAATTACTCAAAACTCGCTTCGGCATTGCGCCAACATCAGTGAGGAGCCCCTCAGCATTAAATGTTTACTAGATTAAATAACATAATTAGATATATTATGATGGAAACAACGCGGATTTTACTACCGAACATTTTTAACATTTAAACGTTTTGACTTTATTTATTTGAACAAATGAAAAATAAAATCTTAACCACTATTTGTTAGTATAAAAAAGTCCGTGTCACAAGCGGGATTCGAACCCACGACCTTCGGCTAAATACGCCACTCGGCCGTTTCATTTGTCGACCAGAATCAAATAGATTACACGACATTTGAAAAATGTCAAAAAGGATGGAAAATTCAAAAGGTGGGGTTGAGATGGGAAGTTAGTGTCCGAGTGGATCGAAGTCACGATAGCTCAAATGGTAGAGCAGGGCGTATTTAGCCGAAGGTCGTGGGTTCGAATCCCGCTTGTGACACTGACTTTTTCCAAAATCTTAATAAATAAAAGAATTTATTTGGTCAAGTGGACCACGAAACCTAATAAAGAACTATTTGTTAGTTTTTACTATCAGAAATAGTAGATAAGAGACGACGAAGCTGTAGTTTTTTCGCCCGGAGACCTCAACCTGTCTCCCGACTGTAAATCCTGTCTAGTTTTGATTTTATTTTTAAATTAAGCTGAAAAACAAAATTTAGTCTCGCAGGCCCTGGGCAATTTTGGACACAATGCCTGGCATTATTTACGACCGAGTCAAGAAATGACAAACCTCAAATAAATATTTTGACATACTGGCGGATTAACGGTATCCGTCCTTCCTAACTCTTGAAGAGTGGTCGAAAAGTACCATTTCAACAGTTTGGAAATTATTTTTACCTGGAAATTGAATATGATCTATTTTACTGCTAAGCCTTTTTGTTTAAGATTGAATAGGCTATTTGGTAAAAAAAAACCATATTAGATTTTTATTGCAGGTATTGAAGGGTTATTATTTTGTAAATGGGGCAAATTATAAAAAATATGTGGTGATTAGTGACCGTTAGTCGATGATTATTCAGAAATCGTGATGGTGATTTTAACAAAACATAACAAAAACATTTATTGAGATCATCTTCAGGGCTCGAAGTGTTTGTTTTCTGCTTAAGTGTGCCATTCTTGTGTGTTCCATTTTCTCAACACGACACGCAAGAATGGCACACTTACGCAGAAAACAAACACTTTGAGCCCTGAAGATGATCTCAATAAAGATCGAAACGTTGGCACGATAAAGAAAATTCTTCTCTGAAACCTACATCACACCAGACCGCATCTCACGATTTCTGAATAATTATAAAAAATATGTCGATGACACAATTATAATTTTACTAAAAGATGTCAAACATAAATTGAAGTATGGTTAAATCCAATAGAAATTTATGATGTACAAAACAACACATTAAAAACATGTTTATAAAGAGAACCTAAATATTAAATTTTGACTCAACACAATCAGTAAGTGACATCAGTACTGGTGTTAGGCTATAGTCAATGAACCATATTTGGCTGAATTTTTTAAACCTTGAATGTTTAAAATGTTGCAATTTTAGGCTTTTGGATAAACTTTTTATCCGTCAACCATGAAAGCAGAATGTTTTGTTATACATTGTTTTTTATAGTTCTTTTTTTGTAATTTTAATCTTTTTTACAACAAATTGTAAATAAAGAATTATTTAACTACATTCTTACATACAAAGACCTTTCGAGCTTTCAAGCGTATGAAAACAAAGAATTTTTTATCTACTTTAGCAGAAAACTGTTTATTTATTTTTTTAATTTAATAATATAATAAGGTGTGCCGATCTCACGATGTTCAAAGTTTTTGTATTGTGTCGAATAAAACGCGTATTTCTCTACCAGAAAAAAATCCATTCATTCCAAAATAATTCAAGAATTTAAATATCCCTGTGAATACAGGAAGAGAAAAGGTCGTACCCCCCGGAAAAGTCGGGGGTGTCATCGGCCGGAGGGTGAACGCACTTGAGAGCGTGGGAGTAGAAAGCTCGCCAGTGAATGCCCTTAGCATCCTTAGAAAAAGAATTATGGCCCTTCCACCCTTTCGTCGGCCGTAACCAAAACATTTTGACAACCTTTGCACGCTCATAAAACATACCCGTGATACAGGCTTTTAGGTGATTCGGATGAAAAACACTGGTAACAGAATTGTATTTTGGACTCATCTGAAATAGGAAAAACCTGCATACAGTTTATCTGCAAGTTGGTTTCAATAAAACTATGCCATAAAAAGATTACAAGATTGCAAGACATCTGGAAATCTGTATAAATTTAATTACAAATTTAGTAAGAAAAGAATAATGATAAAACACGATAGGATGGCAATTTCAATATATAAGCTAGCAAGACATACACTTATACAACAGTGGCACAATAATCAGACATAAACAAACGTTCAAAAATATAAGTTTTTTGCTCATAGTAAATAATATCTCAAACTACAGAAAGTAGTTTCCTATTGTTTAAAAAAAAATCTGTGGTGAATTAGCTTGCATATTGTTAAAAAATAAACCAGGTGAGGGTGATAAAACAAGTACGTCGAATTTTTATTTTTTTCTCTTTACCTTCAATGGCTTTAAACTTTATTGAAGGTCGGATCCCTGATCTCTAACTTACTGGATTTATTTTCAAAGGTAGCAAAAAGTCGTCTAATATACTTTTTCACAAATCATATTACCTTACTGACTGTGTGTAAGTTCTTTAATTATAAATGGTAAATAATATCTTATTGGTTTTAATCAACTTTAATATTTTGTTTCCTTTATGTCAAAATGTGTTTTATATTGCTGTGCAAAATTGAGGCAAAAGTTTAAAAAGAAGGGACGTCAAAATGACAATCAGAACATTGTATTTCAACTGTGTATTTTTGCAAACTGTAACTACTAATAAAACAGCTGGAATTACTAATTAAATACAAGTTTCTTAACACATGCCTTTATAATAGTTTTTACAATAAAAAATATGACTCAAAACCTTTAGAAAATTTAATTGTCAAAAATTATTTCGTATAGTATTTTAAAGTTTATTTCTATTGGCTTTACTCTCTGTACTACTTTGTAAAAAACTGATGTATCATTATCATGACCATAACAATAATAATAATAACGTTATCATTTTCAAAATTTTAAAAAATGTTAAAATCATTGTTGTTACGAATTTTACATATATGAATAATTCTGAGGGTGGTTTTTGCTCGGTTAACCGCTTTTATTACTTTCTGATACATTTGCAATGTAATTTTACTCCGAGAATACCCACAAAGTATTAATTATCTCGTCATAATAGATATCATCTTTTATTTTTCAGATTTTGCGTTAAAAAATCAGAGGTAAGTGCAATTTGGAAGAAAATTAGACATTTCAGTTCTCTCCTCAAGTTTGGCGGAATATAACCCCTTCATCAGGACTTTAAAACTATTACACGTAGTTCATAAGGTTAAAAAATGGGAAAATCTTATATAAAAAGTAATATGCAAATAGAAGAAGTAAAAAATTACATCTATCATTATTTGAAAATACTTTTTATACTTTTGAAACGAGAATATGATCAATTACATATATGATCGGCTTTATATAGTCATTTTGTATATGATTAATGTATTGATTTAATTGTTGAATTGTACAAGGTAAGAAAATAATATAAATAAAAGTGTAATTACTTACTGTTATATCTTTCTCGTGATTTGATTTTTTAGTAGAAACAAATTAGTAAAATAATACAATTTATTGTGCTGTTAAGTATTTTTAATACTGATTTTTAGTAGAAAAAAAGTTTTTCTAATCAGATCATATCTAACGCCTCATAAACAGAGGAATCTAGCATTTGGACGATTAAGTATAGCTTTTTTTACTTCAAAATAACATTTTTAAATTTTAAATTAACTCTTTTTAACTTTAAATATACCCTTTTTTCATGTGAACCCTTTCTTTAAAGCATTATAGAAATTTACAAGATTATATAAGTCGAAATATAAACATGTAAAGTAAAAGTCCAGTATATTTGCGAATTCTTTTTTATACAAAATAATTGAACTTCTAAAAAACAAATAAAATTAAAAAATATATAAAATGAAAACAAAAACAAATCATTTTTCTTTTGATTTGAGAATTAAATTTCATATGATTTTTAAAAACCAAATTATTTTATCTGTAAACAAATCTCAAATGAAAAAAAGATTTTTTTGTTTTCAGATTTAATTTAATATAATCTTTAAATTTTATTTTAATTATTTTTGATAAGGTCTTCTAAGAGAACAATTATTTTATATTTAATTTTTTTTAAATACAGGAATTTTACTTTACATGCATACATTTCAGGGATCTTCTAAGTTACATATTATTGCTTAGGTAAAATCAAAAACGCATTTATAAAACGTTTTGGATTTACCTAAACAATAATATATAATGAGGTTCCATCGCAAAGGCGTATAATCCTTAAAATAAATAAATGTCTCCTTGAGTTTTTTTGTTTATGAAAAGGTTAATTTGAAATTAATAAGAATTAATTTAAAACCAAAAACTAGTAATTTATGGCCAAAGCGAGCTGATTTGAAATTAAAATTGGTTAATTTGACGATAAAGCTATAAGAAAACTCGTTGTTAAAATAAAATTAATATTGTCTGAAAATGTAAAGAAATCTAAAAAATCGTTTATGAAAAAACAAGTTTGTTCCATTTTAGTGTTCAGGCTTAACATAGATGACAATTCGCTCATTACTGTAAGGTAAAAGTCCCGGGTTCGAATCTAGTAAACATGCATTCAAAACCGACGTACTTGGGCTTTTTCCAAAAACCTCAACATCCCGGGGTGACCTCCGCTGTTGCAAACCCTCATAAATATTAAAAAAATAATTTCAAAAAATATATATGTATATGTTCTCATAAAATGTGAATTTATTCTACATGCTTGCAGTATTTGGCAAACTCTATTATTTTAACAAATAAAATATTTTCAATTTCCTCCATTATAACTAATACTTGTCATTGTAAATAATTATTAAAAACAAATCATTTTTGGAATTGGGCCGATTGATCTGGTTAGGTGGTTGATAATATGAAGTGTACTACTTACCATTTGATTAAATTCAAAATTCCTTAAATTATATTAAATTTCTAGGAGTAAATTTTGTATGAATTAGAAAGTAATAATGTAATTGTGTGTATTTCTTTCAACAGCAAGGATAATTAATCTTTACCTACCTACCTAATAATAATAATAATATTTTTCTTCTGCTTTGCAAGAGAAACACTTTGCTTTATTTCTATTTGATTTATACAGATATAAGTGTAATGATATATTTAGGCCTTATTTATATTAACAAAATTTGAATTTCCAAGCAATATAAACCTAATATAAATAATGAGTTACTGCTACAAACAAATAAATAAACGTCAAGTAACCTGGTAAATTTAAAACCTAAGGGATTTTATTTGGATTAGAATTATGTAGGTGCAACCGCATAATTGAATAAATGTAAATATAAAATATCTACATAAACAATCGACAAAAAACAAATGAGAAAGAAGAAAATATCTAGATCTAGATGTTAAAAAAATACTATTTTTGTCTTTGCATTCTCAAGGGTTAACAAACAATCTTTCTGTTCATGATAAGTAAAAGAGTATCAAGGAAAACAATGTTCTAGAATTCAAAATAAAAAGTAAACAACAATACATAGATCTAGCTGCGCTCAATTAGCAGACAATGGTTTTATTAACGTCTTTTGTTGTAAAATCACAACAGCCAGTGTCTTCAAACTCTGAGGGAAGAAGTAGGAAGTCGTCGCCCCTTGTATGAGGAAGCATCGGCCTATTAGTCGTGGGCCTCTGCTGCATTGTGCCCTGATTTCCTGGCCTGTAAATCACCAGTGAATAACAGGGTAAAAGCGTGACTGGGGTGAGTGTCCCTTCTCCGGGGGTTCCTTCCCCTCGAACAACAGACGTTTTGCCATATTTTTGCACAACATTGCGTACGTTTGTTGCCAAAAAAACTGTCTGCATCATTCTGAAAAAACTGTTTTTCTAAACCCCAGACCGTTTTTTTTTAAAAGAAAGCCATCATAATTCATTCGCAAGTGTACGAGCACAATTCTGAAAAAAAATCGTTTTCATTCTTTTCATATACAAAGGTTCTCCTATTTGCTACAGGATAAAATAAAATGATTTTAAAAATGTAATTTAAAAACACTAAATCCAGTTTTTTACAACATGAAAATGAATAATTTGAATCTTTAACATCTCTGTAACATCTGTAACATCTTCATAGCTGTAAAATAACCATTTCAGAATAAATTAATATACATTGTATGATTTCTTAACAATATAATTATTTAAAGAATATAAAAAAATGCCTGCATTTATTTTCTTAATTGCACTAGGTTATTTATTCAAGTTCGTAGTACATTATTTTCTAAATATAAAATTTATCATTTGAACATTTTGGTTGATTACATGATTGTAACATACATGTGATTACACATGTGATCTTAAGATTTTATAATTTTTATAGTATAAAATAAAATTAGGCTTGTGTTTAATATTGAAATAACATTAAAAAACTGCCAGTCTATAATTTCTTAATTTAGTTTATTATTTCTCGGCGTAAATATAGATATAGATCATCGAAAACAATATCTATAATTCATATAGCAATAAAATATTGAGATTTCTAATAAAATTGAAAATTATTGTTTCCTCAAATTAGTAAAATGTTAAATTCGATCATGTCGCATGTAAATATTTGAGCAGAAACAAAGTAGTATAATGATCGGTCAATTTTGGAAAACATTATCTACCTACAAGTTTTGAATTTAATAAGCTATTTTGGGATGTAAATATAAATGGAGATACCCTACAGATCAAGGTGATAAATAATAATAATTATATAGTTTTTACAATATATTTATATAAATGATTATTTGGAAATCGTGAGATGCGGTCTGATGTGACGTAGGTTTCAGAAAAACATTTTCTTTATCGTGCCAATTGAGATCATCTTCAGGGCCTGGGATTTACAAACATTGTTTAAATTTAACAAATACAGGTAGGATGTGGACAAAAATGAATTTACACAATAAAAAAAATATATATATATAAATGTGGCTCTCCCCAATATGTACTCCGACATTAAACTTACATTATTTACTACGAAATATTGAGAAAAAACTTGGAGAAAATTGGGAAAAAGAAACAAATCTTAATTGAAAGATTAAATTATAAAAGGATATGTTTCATTCTCTTATGGTTATATTTTTTATAATTGAGTGAGCTAATTATAATTTATAATAATTATAATTACAACCTTATTAAATACATGTAATGACAAACGTTGTCTTCGTAAATAAAATAAAATTTTTGTTTGTAAAGAAAATCCGTATCGAAGGACTTGAAAGGTTTTTAAAACGAATCTGATTTATTCAGAAATACTGTTTTGTTCTACTTTACTGGAAGCATCTTATCGTGTTTATGTGTGATATAAAAATTATATTTCATTCGAGCCTACATGTTAATTTCTTCTAATAGATAGTAAAATAAATCAAATGATATAAACAGTATATAATTTTTATGGAGGAAAAAGTATGTATATTGATCTTACAAGTCATAATTGATAAAAAGAAATTACAAATGATTGCTTCAATAAAAAAAGTTAATTTTGTCATTTTCCTATTTTGAACGTAAGTTTCTTAACTAAAAGTAATAATTGTTTCAGTTCTTCTTCAATGAATGATAATTTTATTATAACTCATAAGGTCTCAATTATAATTATAGATTAAAAACGATCAGAGATGAAACCACAAAAAAATATTCGATTGTTTGGTCAAGTTTTCGATGATACTCGAACCCCATGAATTCTTCATCGTGACTGAAAATTCAATTCAAAAACAATTAAAAGATAAACAAATCCTCATCAAGTTTCATCAGATTCGATATGATCACAATATTTAATTTTGTTGTATTTGAAATCATTGTTTTAGAGATTGTAAATTTGTTAACCTTTTTATGTTAGTTCTTTAATTTTCAAAGTTCTGATGAAGAGAATTTATTCCTAGAAATGTTGTCGAAGGACTTAAGTATTTTCTTCCTCATAGCTCTCATAGCTGATGAACTATTTTAATATATGATCTAATTTATTTCCTCAAAAATTGAATGTTTTTATAGTTTTTTTGTAAGTTTGAAAAATATTACAATATTATTTTTATAAACAAAATATGTTTAAGTTCATTTAAGATAAATGTAGGAACCATGATAAAGGAACTAAATATAGGAAACATGATTCTGTTATATATTTGTTAACCGTTATAATTATAATTGATTTTAAAATTTAAATAACCATGAGAAGAACAATTGAAAAAAAAGTATGGTTCTTTTCGAAAATAATAATAATTGTTTTAAGCAAAAAATAAGAAGTTGAAGCTTTTATTTGTATATATCAATATTTCGCCATATTTTGTGA